AGAATGAAAATGAAGTTTTATTGTCAGGAGAGTTCATGAAGCTCAATTAGTCACTGAAGACAAACTTTTATAGAGACATTAAAATGTTTTTATTAAGAGGAAAATGAAGCAAACCACAAACATCTACAGGAAACTGATTCCAAACTACTGTATTTTCCTGCCAGTCAGAGCTTTAACGTTGTAACAAGAATAAGATGCACAGAGAATTTGAATGTCTCTAATGCACTGCAACATACAGCTTTATAGAAACAGACTGTAACTACTGTTTTCAAATGTTATTTACAGAAGAAAATCCATGTCCCAGAGTTTTTGTTCAGGTCCCAGCTCTCAGTTGTTCTGCTTTCCAGCTGAACCCTGAAACAGACAGAATAGGACACAGTGCATCAACAGCTGCTCATTCACATATGAAACTATCTGGAGCCAGTTTTTATGTTGAGTTTTGTGTTGGACCAACCTGAAGCTTCCACACCAGAAACGCTACGAAGGCTCCATAGATGCAGCTCTTGACGATGAGAACGGCGTAGGAGAGTTTGGCGTTCTGTGTGATCCTCAAATACTTCACTGCAGAAAGTTGGAACATTCAGATGATTAAAAGAGGGAATATTCGTCGTACTCTGTGGAGACGGCTGTCTGCAGCTGCTCCTGGTTTATACATAAGGTTCACTGCTACACATATAGGACACTTAATATGTTCTTTGTGGTGATAACAGTGGTAGAACCGATGGTGTAGGTGTGTCACAAATATATTTACCTCTTGTGATGCTGTTTTCTTTAGCTGAGAGACAAATGAGAGATTAGACAGATGATTGTTTTATATGTATTTCCAGTTGAGAAAACGATCAGGTTTTGGATATTTGATTCAAATGAACATACCTTTTTCACCACGAATATGATCTGACGTGTATATAGTTGTATTCCCATCAAAGAAGCTGACAGTGCAGGTGAAAGTATTGTCAGGATTGTCCCAGTCTTCGGCAGAGACGTTTAACCTGCTGGTGATTATGTAGTAGGTTCCATTCCGCAGGGCAGCGGCGTCCGTCGCCACACCTTTGGTGACATCCACATTGTTTTTCTTCCAAGACACACTGACATGGTCTGGGTAGAATTTACTGGCCACACAAACTAGGGTCTTCTTCTTTCCATCACCTTTCTTACGACGCTCCTTTCGCGACGGACGAAGCACTTTCACTTCTGGTGCTTTTAGTTCATGGCCGGTTTCTGCAGGGACAAAGAAAATAAGTCACTAAGTTAAAGCTGCTTATGGATCTACAACAAACTGATGCACAATACCCAACTCTAAAGTACATGTGACAACTTCTTCTGAGTTTAGTCATGAACAAAACGATACAAGAGACTGAGCCTTAACACCAAATAAAATAAGTTCACTACAGGTTACAGAACTCACATTCAGAGTTTAATTATTTTAGATAAATGCTTGGTTTGATGAAGTTATTGTTGCAGTGATCTTACCAAGAACTGTTAGTTTGGTTCCCTCTCCAAAATAAGCAGGATAAGTGTTAGAGCACACAGATAACTGACATGTAAAAAACTTCCAAAGACCTGCAGTACAGGACTGATGTACCTTGACTTTTTTACTGCATTGTGACTTTTTCACAAGCAGCTCCTTCCAGTATACAGTACAGTCACTATCTCACATCTGTCCCACTTCTAAACTCATTCATATATTTTAATGCACTTTTCCCTTCACTGTTTGTTGCAAAGAAAAACAGTCTCTCTGAACATTTTTACAGCTTTCAAACAATGTCATAACATTAACAAAGTCTCATTTATAGACCAAATAGAACCTTTTTGTCACAGAATAAAAAGACTGATCTTACTTCATAAGCTTTACATTTTTGTCAGGTTTGGCTGAAACCTTCACAGCAGCCAGGACGACACCAAACCAGCTTTTTTT